ATTTACACCCCATGGATCGTTTGCTTCTTTACTTGTCCTGTTACTTTGCACTTCCTTCCTTTTTGTCCATTTAATTACCTCCGTCCTTCTCCTAAGCTCAGATCTTTCTTAACTTGCCCCTCACAACCCCATTACCCGCTCCTTTCCCTGGCTCTGCACTTGTTTATAAATTGTTTAAGCCTATACTTTTTCCCAGTTCTTATAAAAAAATCAACACTCTTAAATATTAAATATTTCAGTCCATTGACGCTTCCTAACCTGCTGAATGTTTCTAGCATTTTCTGTTTTTATCTCAGATTTACAACACCTGGCGTGTTTTAGATGTACTTCAGTTAAGTCCTGTTTTCCCACTTATTGAAAGCCCTTTTCATCTGCTTTAGTGCATTCTCACTACACCATTTTTATGCTAGAATGTAATATTATTTTCTACTAAAATAGCAAACGAGGTAGCAATTATACAGCTGTGGTATTACCTTGCATTAACAGTGAGTAAAAAAATCAGTACTTTAACTCCCATCCAATATGATTGGTATTGCTTGTATAAATATGGGCTTCAAAGAAAATAAAACAATCCCTTACAATTAAAGCTACATAGAGTGTAAATATTAAACATGGTGTGATTTGAGATTCAAATGAGTGTAATGTTGTCACCCTTGCAGCTTTCAACATTATATGTACCATTTAACCAGATTATTCCATTGTAATTACTTCTAGTTATTCAGTGCTGTGTCCTGCTACTGGAGTTTTGAATATAAATAGAAACATCGACTTTGTGGGATGAGTGGCACCATAGTTCAGCAGTCTGTCCTCTCACCTCTGGATCCAGGGTTTGAATCCAGTATAAATATATGGAATGAAAGCTTTCTCTGTTTGCTGGCTGAAATAATCTGACCTTGAATCACCTTTGTAAGATGATGTGATTCTGTCACAAAAAACTGTGTTTAACCTTACTCAAAGAAGTTACAAGGAGGATGACTTCTGTGAGAAATAAAAGTGATACGCTGCCGCAGTAAAGGTGTTCTTCTGAGATCAGGATGAAAGCAAACAATTAATGTATGGTAAGGGAAGTTTTAATCTGCTTTAAACCTGCACAAAAGAGAGTTTTGTCTGTCAATAGCTTGTGATTTGAAGGGACAGGATGCCTCAGATAAGGAAATTAGTGCCTTGAACAGTGACCAAGATCTCCTGCAGTGCTGTTATCGATATCGGATTGCCACAACGCTTTTACTTTACTCCACCCTGATGCAGCTCTGCATTTCAGGCCAAGAATTTGGATCCCAAATTCTTCAGAAACATTGAGCAAACCTTCAATCGAAGCAGCATGGAAGCATTAGGGGAGAGGAAACAAGGCATGCCCTGTTTATACAACACTGGCTGTCATAATATAAGTTTAAACGTTCAGTGTGAAGGAATGAGTGGTTAAGTGAGTGAAGTAAATGGGTAGAGTTGAAGTTTGGACAGATCACAGGTGAGTAGGGTGAACAGTTGTCAAGCAGGTTTGGTGATAATCAAGTTGGGTGGGGTTGGCTGGTCAGAGAGTAGTCATGGAATGGACTAGTAATGTGGAATGGATGGTTCATCAGGTAATGTCGAGAGATAGGGTACAGGGTGGGGTAATAATTGTAATTGTGGGTCAGTCATATTGGAGTTACACCTGGAATTAGTTTTCTAATATTTCCCAAATAACTATCAAGGTTAGCACATCAGAACTGTCTGATTCACTGATTCCAATTCAAAGTTAGAGATCTGTTTGGAGGTTCCAGGAGAGCAGGGAATTGCCAGTCTTAAGTCCATCCTACTTGAGCAACCTACATTAACTCGGAACTTCTGCAGATTTGCTTCCTGGGCCGTACATCTAGTCTCCAGTAATCTGAAGATTTGACTATTTGGACCAATTACTACTTGTTTTAAATAGTCAAACAGTATGTCAGGAGCAACTATAGTTTCTCTTCTGCTCTGGCAAAAGCATGAGACCTCTTATAGTGCTACTCTAGTTAAAATACACTTTTTTTTCTTGATATTAGGGACAGTATAAAGTGAGTCATTCCCAGTAAGTCCAGTTTGTTCTGCATTGCAGAGCCAAGATTTAAACATACCTAGCTGGAAACAGAGGGAAGTGTAATGATGCCAGACCTCCAAAAACTCAAAGTTTTGCTTTGAGTTCTGAGGAAGGGTTACCGGACCCAAAACGTTAACTCTGATATTTTCTTCACAGATGCTGCCAGACCTGCTGAGCTTTTCCAACAACTTCTGTTTTTCTTTGAGTTTTGACTTACTGTGATATAAATCGTGCTGCAGTTACCCATCGGGAGTTGGTGAAAGGGCAATTTCAATTGAAATGTATAACTCAAAGGGATGGTGGCTTTTTGACCTTTATGTCTGTGCTCATTTTTTGTTCAGATTTTCTTGACATTAGAACAGGAAGGAGCGTATGTAGGAAAACGAAAGTAAATACGATCTGCAAAATTGCCAGTACGAAAATTATCAGATGAAATATTCAGAATTCAGCAATACCAAAGGAACATAAATGAGGAAATGTGAAAAGAAATTCCGAGCATACAAACTGCCACTGCAACTTAGGGGAAAACAAAATTACAAGTGAATTGACTAAACAGGTAAAATGATAATGAAGGTAGTTTTTAAAGTGCCCCGAATACACTGTTTCATGGTTGATGTCACACAAGATTAAAGGCTGGTCATACAGATTAGCAGTTATCAGGGCTGCACTTCCTGTGTTCATTATGCCACTAACTACCTCTGAAGACCTTGGCAACCTACTTGGCAATGATTGAGTACAATTGCTTCGAAAGGCTTCGAGTCATCGTAGGAGCCATGTCATCTGTAGCAAGGTCAACCTACACCACTGGAGGTCAGTATTGCTACTGACAATCAAGATCACCACTGCTCTCAACTTAACTTTCCAGGCTAGAAATGGATGGTGGTGCAAATGATCCCTATTTGCTATCTCCACATGTGTGAAATAAACACATTAGTAAGTAGTTTTAAGATTCTTTCCACTGAAGAGCAACTAGCACGTGTTGCACAGCCATCATGTTTGTGCTCTTTCTCCAGGATCATAACTTTCTTTTACCCATTTGCATACTTTGAATAACCATGCCACCATCCCAAACATACTAATTATATCTTCTGGGATGTGTGGAGCTACATTAGTGTTCCGAGTATAGGCTGGGGCAATTCTCCCTGAAGTCTGAATGGCTGAGAGGTCACCTTATAGAGATTTATAAGGTCATGAGGGGCACGGGTGTTTTTCCCAGGATAGGGGAGTCCAAAACTAGAGGGCATAGGTTTGAGGTGAGAGGGGAAGGATCCAAAAGGGACCTAAGGGGCAACTTTTTCATGCAGAGGGTGGTGCACGTAATGGAAAAAGATGCCAGAGGAAGTGGTGGAGACTGGTACAATTACAACATTTCAAAGGCATCTGGATGGCTACATGAATAGGAAGTGTTTAGAGGGATATGGGCCAAATGCTGGCAAATGGGACTAGATTAATTTAGGATATCTGGTTGGCATGGATGAGTTGGACCGAAGGGTCTGTTTCCGTGCTGTACAACTCTATGACTCTATGAATTATCTGTAAGATGAATGACAAGATGTTAATAGTCACTCAAGAAAGTGAAAAACAAGATGAGGAGACATTTCTTCACCTAGAGAGTGGTGAGCCTGTGGAGTTCATTACCACAGGAAGTAGTTGATGCCAAAACATTGAATGTATTCAAGAGGTGACTAGATATAGCACTTGGGGCTATTGGGATCAAAGGTTATGGGGAGAATGCAGGATTAGGCTATTGAGTTGGATGATCAGCCATTATCGTGAAGAATAGCGGAGCAGCTCGAAGGGCCGAATGGCCTCCTCCTGCTCCTATTTTCTATGTTTCTATATTTCAGTGATTAGTATCATCCAACAGCACTTTACCATATTTAAAATTATGTATGGTACAGGTAGACCCAGAAATTCTTCCAAGGTAGGTTCTTCAGAAGAAATGAAGAAAATTAGAAAATTCAGTGTAAACAATAGCTAATTCTGGGCTTAGTGCCCAGCTTCTGTACTGAAATTTCTGCATTAAAAAAAAGTTCAAACTCAAACAGAGATGAATTATTCAATGGAACAGATAAGTTTTAAAGTGCTAAATCTTTTAGTTAAAATATAGTAGACCAGAATAGCCTTTATTGTCAAATATATTCAATGAGTATAGTGAAAAGTTTATACGTCATCAATTACAATGCCGATAATGATAATAATAATGTTTTGAATATTTGTGAAAATAGAAGTAATGAAATGAGCTCCAATTGCTCTGTACCTGCTTTCAGTTGCAGGTCATCCTATTGAAATAAATGAAAAATCAAGTTGACAGCAAATAAACAATCTTTGGTTGCGTCATATCTATGCTTTCCATGTACAATGTGAAATTCTGTTTAATGTTAATAATATTCCTTAACTGTGACTGCAGGAAGAATTCCACATGTGATTCAGTAAAATTTTAAGCTGAAACTCCTGGGTATGGTATATATTAGGCTGGATTAGTCTCTTCTACAATTGTGTGCATGAGATGCAAATAATAAATAGCACATATTTGATACATACACATTAGATTCTCTAATCACAAAAGCCTAAATACAGTTCAAATAGCAATTTGAACCTTTCTAGACCATGTGGTTAGATTTTCTTTAGATATGATGCTTTCTTTGCTAGTCACTCCAGACTTCCCAATAAGTTATTTATGCAAATACAAGGATCTGCCTAGCACAAACATCATTTGCTAATAAATATTGTCACATTCATGAAATAGAACATTTTCAGTTATCTTTGTATAAAAATGTAGTTTATCAGTACTTCTAATTCACTTCTGAGACATGGAAAATGCAGTTTTGGACATCTATGGCCTAACTGTGCAGCTTTCCCACTGGCAGCACAGAGTTATTTCTATGCTTATTACATGCACAGATTTTAGCTTGTCACTATTTCCTAGGACAACACATACCTTTACACGTCGGTTAATATTCAGAAATTGACAAGTTTTATCATAGAGCTGTTCCAGGTTTTCTCTGTCCCAGTAAAAATCAGGGGTCATCAGGAGATCGGAACTCAAATTTATATGATGTCTGAAAGAGAACAAATTTCGGAAAACACCAGGCAGATTAGTGCTGTATGTGGTGCTGAACTCTTATGTTAATACTCACAAGACATTTTGGTACTATTATTTATATAGGAAAAGAGAATTTGCAGAGAAAAAGACAAAGTTATAATAATCTATTCTGAAGAAGGGTCACTGGACCGAAACATTAACTGTGCTTTCTCTCCAAAGATGCTGCCAGACCCACTGAACTTTTCCATCAATTTCTGTTTTTGTTTCTGATTTCCAGCATCTACAGTTCTTTGGGTTCTTTTTTAAAAGAGATAATAAGATTCCCTAACCTGAAAAAAAAATTCTACTATCTGTATTTGTGTCTGTTTTGGTTCATAGATTATAGGCAGTTATCATACATCATGCACCCCATTTTGGATTCCCATCATACTTCAAATGTTTAACCTTGCCAAATTTCTGAAAAATGTTCTTCGTGATACAGGCTGGTTTGTTGTTATCTCTGCAGGATGCTTGGAAGATTTAATACCTAATCTAATGATTTCTCTCATTAGTTTACTTCCCTGTAGTCTGGTTTGAATGCATGGATCTTAACGGTAATTACCAAGAAACAACACACAGATAAGCTTGCCACCCAATGAAACGTGGCCAAGGTAGATTTTAAGGGGGAAAGAGAGGACCATGGTGATGGTACAGTCAGCAATGATGGGATAATTAAAATCAAGGATGCTGCAGGAATATGGCCACTAAATGCTTCTTGGTAAATTACGTTATTATCAATACAATGTTAGTGCTGTCTTCGTGATCCTTGAATTCCTACTGCATTACTTAGAAACAAAGAATTAGATGTGGAGCTCATATCTATTCATTGGTGGATTTTCAGAAGTAAATTTTTACCTCAAGGCAAACAGTTCACCAATTTTCTGCATGACTTCAGAACGTGTAAGTTTCACTTGTTTTCCTGATTTCAGCATCTGAATAAAAAGGCAGAATGCTGTGAAGCTAAGTGAACTTTTGAAGGTATGAATCTGACTATCAGAACTAGTCAAGTTTACAAATACTGTACATACATAGGTTTCAGTAAAAAAGCACAGATTAACATGCTAGCTTGACATGTTGGGTGAAATTGGGCTGTACTTAACTATACCTGGATTTATTTAATGGCACTCATTTCTTTTAAATTGACAAAAAGTAATGCTTATACCTAGAGTTCAGAATTAGATCACACAAAGCTCAAGAAATTTGGGGCTGAGGCATAATGTCTCTTAAGCCAATGCTTTTCTTTTAATAATAATCCTCATTAATTTGATCTATCATACATGTAGCACAGGAGATAGAGTAGAGATGAGCGACAATTAGACGAGGGGAATGGGCTGTTTCTCATTATTAGAAAACAACCTGCCTCAAATTAAAGTGGACCTATATTCTTGTCCAGATCTTCACAGAGAAAGATGATTTGCTCTGTGTAATACATAAATGATTTCTAAATATTGCATTTAGTATGATTTAAATGGTGAGCAGATTTCTGCTCTATCCTCATGTTGTATGATGCAAGGGTGTCTTGCTCATTCCATGTATCAAAATATTCCCATCTTCCCAACACACATAATTGTGTAATGAAATTATGTTGGAACGGGTTTCTTGCTCAATCCTGGAGGTTGCGCCTCATTTTCCATTTAGTTCTTCCTTCTCTGAACTATCTCCTCACCTTCTTTACTTTCTCCCTCATTGTCCTGCATCATAGGGTTGCCAATTCCTGGTCACTCCCAAATTTCTAAGAGCTGCAACTGCAGCTTCCTAGTTTTGCTGAATAGATTCATGGTCTTCCCTGCTGCTCTGACAGAGTCTTTTTAATCTCTTCCATTGTGCAAAGCAAGTTTTTTTTTAAGTTTTTTCATGAAAGCATCACTGGTGAGGTCGACATGAGTTGCTCATTCCCAACTGCCCTTGGGAAGTGGCAGCAAGCAATCTTCTTGAACTGCTACGATCTAGCTATGCCTACAGTGCTGTTTCATTTTGTCCTTATCAGCTGTGCATTCATGAAGATCAATTGTAACACTTCCATATCTCCGTGATGGAGACTGACAAACTCAGGAATGACCAAGAATCGAACCTGTCCCCTGTATTACACGACAATGGACTTGTTCACTGAATTACAGAGGAAGCTGTGAAATACTTTGAAGGTGAGGGATAAATTAATAAAACTGGAGTCATATTTAATAAATTCCAGGCAATGCCAACAAATCAAGGTGGAAACCATGGTAGCTAACTGGCTTTCGCATCCATTTCATTTATATTCCAATCATAACCGAACTTTATTTGGTTTATTTTAATTTCAAGATCCAGGTAAGACATGCTTGACGATCTGATGAAGGAAAATGTTACATTACTCACCTCAGGAATGAACTGAATGGACTCAACAAAGTTATCCAATGACACCTCCCAGATGGCAAGTTTTACTGCAATCAAGATAAGATTAGAAACTTTTAAAATCACCAAAGATTTTAATAACTTGGATGAAATGTGAGTTTAAAAAAAAATAAAAAGCTACATTGTGCATAGATTTCCTATGTAATAGCTGATGCTGAATTGGACTTTGTCATTCTGTAACATCAATACTATGTCACATCATAAACAATGCATTTGTAATACTATTAAAGCTTTAAGATTGCAAAACGACAATAAGTCAAACCAAATTCGAAAGATATGATAACTTGTGGGCTAGTCCCAGAAAACAGTTGGGAAGCTGCCAAACTTTCATTGAGTGACTCACTAGTATCTTTCAGAGAAGGCAACCTATGCTCCCCCCATCAACTCAGCTTGATCTTAAGCCCCACTTTCAGCCTACTAAAAGTGACATTGTTAACAAACCACACCGTTAATACCGGAAAAGGGTATTTACATAGCTAAGAGTGAGTGAAAAAGATTAGGATCCAGCTGTTCTGTAAATGCACTGGAACTTCTCTCTATATAATGTAAAGACTGTGTCATTTTTGTGTTTGTTTAATTGTGGGCTGAAAAGATAAAAAGAACCGTTTTAAAAACCAGGAATTTCAAGGATAGCGACATAATTTTGAAAGCATGCACCTGATACTCATTGTAAATACCATGTACACAACTAAATAAAAACTAAAAGAACTGCGGATGCTGTAAATCAGGAACAAAAACAAAGTTGCTGGAAAAGCTCAGCAGATCTGGCAGCATCTGTGGAGGAGAAAACAGAGTTAACGTTTTGGGTCCGGTGACCCTTCCTCAGAACTGATAGTGGCTGGGAAAACGTCAGTTTGTATGCAGAAAATAGAGAGGTGGGTGGGGTAGGGAGTAAACGATAGGATAGAGCCCAAAGAGAGAGAAAGACAGCTGGTCAGACAAAGGAGTTGCTAACGATCAGGCTGGAAGGGTGAATAGTTGTTAATGGGGGCTGTTAGTGACTAACAACAGGGGGTGTGTAGTGGCAGGCTATGTGGTAACAAGGCCTGGTGTGTGGGGTGGGGGGCTGGGACATGGGAGAGTTTAGGCCCTAAAATTATTGAATTCAATATTGAGTCTGGAGGGCTGTAGGGTCCCCAAGCGGAAAATGAGGTGTTGTTCCTCCAGCTTGCGTTGGGCTTCACTGGAACACTGTTGCAAGCCAGAGACAGAGATGTTGGCCAGGGAGCAAGGTGGTGCATTGAAGTGGCAGGCAACAGGTAGTTCAGGGTCTTTTTTGCGAGCAGAACGTAGATGTTCTGTGAAGCGGTTGCCAAGTCTACACTTCGTTTCCCCAATGTAAAGGAGACCACATTGTGAGCAGCAAATGCAGTAGACTAGATTCTTGGAAGTGTAGGTGAAGTGTTGCTTCACCTGAAAGGTATATTTGGGCCCTTGGATTCTGGGGAGGGAGGAGGTAAATGCGCAAAATGTGATCATGTACACAACTGTTGGTTTAAGCAGTAGTGGGACAAGATTGCTGATGAATTGCAGGCGAAGGATTGTGTACAAATGGAGCTTTGGTTGGCAACAAGTAGCAGATTATTTCGCAATTAATGGCCAGTTACCAATGACAAATATCTTTTGCCTGTCAGTTTTGTGATTGATTGTCAGGTACCTGAACAGTTTGGGGCTGTGGACAAGATATAGCAGAGCCATCAGGTCTCCAGTAGCCCATGAACTCTGTTCTCTGCAACAAGCCACTTTAAGCCTGATGAAAACCCATTCGCCTTCCTTTCAACAGTCGCTAAATCAGAGACCTTTAATCAGTGAACCAGCCACCCTGTACCTCTTGCAAACCAGCAGGGGCATCTGGAAAGCTAAAGCCAAAGAAAGCCACCTTCTGATCAGTCCAAGAACCAATTCAAAAGATCCTGTAAACAAAGACTACTGAAATGCTTTCCCAATTTTCTCTCCATGCATAATATTCTCATTTGTTTTTGCCCTTGTCAAAAGTGTTTTAAGTGGACTTTTTAAGGGGATTGGAGTTTTATTTGGTAGAGTTACATACCGATGATTCGTAATTGTTTACCTGTAGCTAGACTCTAGTTACTTGTAATACATAGCAATTCTTGTTAGTACAGAAACCTGGTCCATGTTTTCTATCAACCTGGACCTAGAAGACAGGTAAATTGGTGAATTCTGCATTTGAACAGAACAGAACAGAATCTCTACAGTGTGGAAACAGGCCCTTCAGCCCAACAAGTCCACACTGACCCTCAGCGCATCCCACCCCGACCCATCCCCTATAACTGACCTAATCTACACATCCCTGAACACTATGGGCAATTAGGCATGGCCAATTCACGTGGCATGCACATCTTTGGACCGTGGGAGGAAACCGGAGCACCAGGAGAAAACCCACACAGACACAGGGAGAACGTACAAACTCCACACAGACAGTCACCCGAGGGTGGAATTGAACCCGGGTCCCTGGTGCTGTGAGGCAACAGTGCTAACCACTGAGCCATCGTGTTTAAACAAAGGCGTTAACTTTTCTGATAACTGAGAGTGTATTGACACTTGATTTCCAGCATTCTACCCTATTTGCAACAATAAAGAAAATCTACCAAAACACACACACAATGCAAAATGGTTTTAATTTTAATTAAGCAAAAGAATCTTGGGGGGAGACAATACGAAACATTACACCTGAAGACGATCATTAATATGATGGCTCAATGGTATATCAATTTTAAAAACAGGTTGAATATTGGTGATGCATTGAAAAATGATTATGTACAATAATTGTGAGGATATAATGAGAAAAATGTACAGGATCTGAAGTTCATCCACATCTTTGAGTCTCACCTGACAGGGAAAGTGCATTTGAAAATGCAAACTTCTCCAAAATAGATTCATCCAGCTCCAGATCAGAGTTCAACAAAATCTGTCCTCTATGCAGCTTTGAATGCCCGCTGTGGAAAACAAAAAAATATATATATACACACAATATGATCGAGATAATATTTGACTATTTTGAAAATTCTAAGCAATATCATATCACTTGTTCAAATTGATCTTTCCACACATCATTATAGAACATAAATTGACTTGAATGTAAGTATACAAAATGAACCATTCTTGTATTGTCCCTCCATTAAAATATGCATTTGGTGTACAATAAGTTCTGGAACTGCTCAATAATCATACAAATTCCCGTTTTATATGAAGACTTTTGTGGAGTGTAAACAGTCCAACTGCTCTGTAAGTGCAGTTGTAAGTCTCCCAGTTCTAATAGGAAACAGCAAGATGAGACAAATGGTCTTGAAAACTTTAACTCACATTACTAACATTTGTTCTCAAATGCACTAGCAAATGACCAAAACAAAGCCTTAGTTTATGTGCACATGATGCAATATTCATTAACAATAACAACAACAACAAAAACAGAAGTTGCTGGAACAGCAGGTCTGGCAGCATCTGTGAAGAAAAAATCAGAGTTAACATTTCGTGTCTGGTGATCCTTCTTCAGAACTGATGGTAGCTGGGAAAACATTGGTTTATATGCAGAAAATAGGGGAGGGGGATGGGGTAGGGAGTAAATGATAGGATACAGCCCGAAGAGAGAGAAGAGCAGTTGGATAGACAAAGGAGTTGATAACGATCTGGCTGGGAGGGTGAATAGTTGTTAATGGCGACTGTTAGTGATTAACAATAGGTAGTGTGTAATGGCAGGCTAAGTGATAACAAGGCCTGGTGTGTGTAGTAGGGGGCTGGGACATGGGAGAGTTTAGGCCTAAAATTATTGAAGTCAATATTGAGTCTGGAGGGCTGCAGGGTCCCCAGGCGGAAAATGGGTGCTGTTCTTCCAGCTTGCTGGAACACTACAGTAAGCCAGAGACAGAGATGTTGGCCAGGGAACAGGGTGGTGTGTTAAACTGGCAGGCAACAGGTAGTTCAGGGTCTTCTTTGTGAGCAGAACATAGATGTTCTGCGAAGCGGTCACTCAGTCTATGCTTTGTTTCCCCAATGTAGTGGAGACTATATTGTGAGCAGCGAATGCAGCAAACTAGATTCTGGGAAGTGCAGGTAAAGTGCTGCTTCACCTGGAAGGTATGTTTGGGCCCTTGGATACTGGGGAGGGAGGAGGTAAATAGGCAGGTGTTGCACGTTCACCGGTTGCAGGGGAAGGTGCCGTGGGGATGTGGGGAGATGTTGAGAGTGGTGGAAGAGTGGACCAGGGTGTCACAGACAGCACGGTCCCTGTGGAAAGTGGATAAGGGAGGGGAGGGGAAAATGTGTCTGGCGGTGGCATCTTGCTGGAGGTGTATGATGATCTTCTAGATATGGATGCTGGTGGGATGGTAGGTGAGGACAAGGGGGACCCTATTGCTGTTGCGAGAGGGAAGAGAAGGGTTGAGGGCAGAAGTGCGGAAGATGGGTCAGGCCCGGTTGAGGGCCCTGTCGACAACGGTGTTGGGGAATCCTCGGTTGAGGAAGAAAGTGGACATTTCAGAGGCTCCATCGTCAAAGTTGGCCTCATCTGAACATATGCAACGGAGACAGAGGAACTGAGAGAAGAGGATGGAGTCTTTACAGGAAGCAGGGTGTGAGGATGTATAGTCCAGATAGCTGTGGGAGTCAGAGATAACGAGGTGTAGAGCTGGACGAACAGAGCAGGCCAAGCAGCAGCAGAGCAGCAGGAAAGCTGACGTTTCAGGCCTAGACCCTTCTTCAGCTTTCCTGCTCCTCTGATGCTGCTTGGCCTGCTGTGTTCATCCAGCTCTACACCTTGTTATCTCAGATTCTCCAGCATCTGCAGTTCCTACTATCTCTACTAGCTGTGGGAGTCAGTAGGTTTATAGTGGATATTAGTGGCCAGTCTATCCCCAGATTAGAAACAGAGATGTTGAGGAAGGGAAGGGAGGAGTCAGAGATAGACCAGGTGAAAGTGAGGGCAGGGTGGAAATTGGAGGCGTATTCGATGAACTTTTCCAATTCTGGATGAGACAGGGAAGCAGCGCCAATGATAGCATCAATATATCAAAGAAAGAGTTGTGGGTGGGGGCCGGAATAGGACTGGAACAAGGAATGTTCCACGTACCCCATGAAGATACAGGCATAACCGGGGCCCAAGGCCACCCCTCAGAAAATGAGGGGCATTAAAAGAGAAGTTGTTGAGAGTGCGGACGAGCTTGGCCAAGCGGAGGAGGGTGATGGTGGGTGGGGACGGTTCAGGTCTTTGCTCCAGGAAGAAATGGATAGCCCTAAGACCGTCCTGGTGGGGAATGGACATGTAAAGGGATTGCACGTCCATGGTAAAGAGGAGGTGGTTGGAACCTGTAAAGTGAAAGTTTTGAAACCGGTGTAAAGCATCAGAGCAATATTCATTATCTGATCAGGAGATAATTGAGAGATGTGGACATTCATGCAGTTACATGAATCACAACCAGTACTGCTGCAGTGACCACAGCTACTGAATGAAGAACAAATAGAAAATGTGCTGTCAAGACATTTCAAAAAAGAGCCAATCTCTTTCCACATTACCTGGAGTTGGGAGATTAATCTCAGAACTGTCTAAAAATTAAACCAGATGACATGTAGTGAACACTTTAGTTGGGAACTCATCATTATTGTTTTTTGTATAATACTGATCTTTATACTATAAAATACGAATGCTACATATCTCAAAGCAGCTAAGTATCCTTGCTGTATTTCAATACAGGATCCCATTTTTCGGCAAATTCTCTGGGGAATATCTTTACTTGGAGAGAGGGAACACTCTCCCATGCTTTCCTTGATTTCACAAATATACATGCTTTTCTTGGTTTATGCTTTACTACTCTACAGCAGACTTGCCAGTATTCCATGAAGCAGGCTTGTCCAATTTTTTTTTTGTTTTAGTTCTCCTAAATAGAACATTGTTCCATTTGCTCCTGCATTTTTAGAAAATCAGCTATATTAATCTTCCTAAATAATCAAAATGAACAGTAGCAGCACAATGGCTCAGTGGTTAGCACTGCTGTCTCACACCCTCCAGCCACTATCTGTATGGAGTTTGCACGCTCTCCCCGTGTCTGCGTGGGTTTCCTCCGGGTGCTCCGGTTTCCTTCCACAGTCCAAAGATGTGCAGGTTAGATTGACTATCCACGCTAAATTTCCCATAATGTCAGGGATGTATAGGATAGATGTGTTAGCCATGGGAAATGCAGGGTTACAAGGAAAGGGTAAGGAGATCAGCCAGGGTAGGATGCCTTTTGGAAGGTCAGTATGGACTTTTTGGGCCCAATGGCTTGCTTCCACACTGCAGGGACTCTATGGAACAAGCACAGAATTTAGCATCTTTAGTCCAAGCTTTCACAATGTTCCTTAAACAGCATGTAATGAAGGTGTATTATGCATTTTAAATCCAAATCACAAAACATAAATGTGGCAGATGCATATAGGTTAGTTCTGTGAAGTAATTTTTTAAAGCAGATCACAAAGTTATTTGAAACAGTGACTTGAGTGCATCAATTCCAAGCATGTGATTGTAGTCAAGTGCCTGGAAGAACCCCATTAGATGTAATGTGTGTATTGCTGAGCTTACAACAGACCAGAAAGCCATTAGGTTAGCTTTGACTTCAGAACAGAAGATTCAAGGTCTCAGTTCAGAAAAACTAGGAGTTCAGTTCAGAAACAAGAACAGCTTCTCCTTGCAGCAGAATCAAGCTGTTAGTCCTGGGGAACCAGTTATCAATACCCAGTTAGGAGCAAATTACTACACATGCTCGAATCTGAACTGAAAACAAAAAGTGTTGGAGATCACAGTAGGTCAGACTGCATCCATGCAGAGACAGCAGGCTAATGTTTTGAGTCTAGATGACCCTTCATCAGATACCTGGGTGTTTTCTGGAGGTTCTGAGCCAGAAGAATTTGGATAAAAATCTTCAAGTTACTTTAACTGAAAATTTAGGTGTGAATTGTGAAAGGTGTATGCCAACAGACTCGAAGTCACAATCTGAAGAGAAGAAGCTGGGCGGGGGGAATTTTTTTTTGCCGTTTGTATTAAGATCTTTCTAATTGTCTCATATGTATGGCTTTCATAATCTTCTGTTTTGTGGTTAAAGAACATCAGAAACTTTGTGTGAATATGTTTCAGTGACTCACCATCACATTATCCAGCTGAAAAAAATCAAAGAATTCTTGTAATATAAAGTTGGAGGAAGGAGTAATTGTTGGAAGGATGAATTGAAATGAGGCAGTTTCTGTACAAAGTGACTGTAATTGAGACTTTATAAAAATGTTTCATTCTAACCTGTCAACTAGAAGGTTGCTTACTTACTTGGGATTAGGCTAGTTTGTCAATGTGAAAAAATTAAACATCTTCAGTTCCCCTAGGTGCCCCATAGAGGTCTTTTCAAATGAAGAATATTTCAAGCAACTTGGACTGCAAATCTATTAGTAGAACAGAAATCTAAATTCAAGGATAGTGACAAAGGAAGTACAAAAAGCAGCAAACCAAGTTCCTTGTTCTAAGGTGGAAATGGCATCCTGCTGCTCTAGTAGAACAGTCTGCAGTTAATTTTGACCCAAGGGAACGAAAGATTGCTCATGGATGGCTACGCCATCTGTATCACTGACTTAATTTGTGCCACCCTGTGGTGCGAAAACCTTGCCCAGTGAATTCAATAAAAATACTGTATAGCTTCAGAAAGGGTTTAACTGTTTGTGTTACTTGGCTTAGTCATAGTAATACACTGCAAAGACATATTTTAAGTTTAAGCTGATATTCCTAAGAGTCAGACATAGGTATAGATAACCTTCAAGATATTTAGGCTACATTCAAAAATGTTGTTTAGAACAGGATTTCAAAATAAAAGTCAGATACAGTTTATTCATTGATCTTGTGCTGTGTTCCACAAGATATTTGGTGCAGGGAGTCATGCATACAACACAACTCTGGGAATATCCAGCACCTAAACATTATTTTGTAGCTTTCCATTCCTATGTATATAGGAAATCAAGTTAGATATTCACACATTTTCACTAAAATTGAAACAAGCTGGATTATCTGATGAGTATTAGGATCCCAATGTCAGGACCAAGTGGCAGTTTGGATTCTTCGCACATGACAGTAGAGAGATCAGCATCACAGCCTTCCCATCTCTGGTCCAAGAAATGATGATTCAGAAGACTGTGAAACTTGACTGGTGTTTCCCCACCTTGCCAAAGTCCACTATCTAGTGGCAGTATTTGCACAGGACACTTTTCCTTTTTGATGCTGAAATTCATTTTTTTCCAAGGACAAGTTTTGAGTGGGTGACTGGGCTGCCATCCCAATGTCATCTGTCTGAGGAACATATTTCACTGCAGACATGTCTATATGTTTCCAGTGGTGATGGGCAATCTGCCTGCTTCAAGGGCAGGATTTTCCAGAGGTTCAGCACCCATTTAGAGTGAACACACCTCTTAAGGACAGGCATCTTTGTGCAAATCTGGACTGCTACTTGGGAAGTACCTAGGGAGAAAATGTTTAGGCAAAAGCACGTAAGTCGACACTTGTGGCAAAGTTGAGGACACAGTTTTCCCTTATGTAGCAGGAAGATGCTGAAACAACTGGAGTGAGACAGCAGACAATATCATGTCCAAGGACGTGGGCTCAATACCACAAGTAGACAGCAACGCTGAATAATATATTCCTATTGCATTTTCTCTGCTTTAATAATTGCCAATAGTACTTGCTTCCTTTGCTCCACTTGCTTCTCCACTGTATTAATTTCATTCTAATCACACTGCTAACTACATTTCACAGTACAGTCACTTTCTTATATGTCACCTCCTCATCAGCCTGCTCACATCTTGCATTCCCCCATCTCTCACACGAGACGATGCTGTCTGGTGTATTCTAATAATATTTCCAACAGCCATGCACTAACTCATTGCCACTGGTTCTGCATGAGAATACGACTCTTAGAAACTGGTGTGGCTTAGAGCAGAGGAAGCATCTGCCTTTTTAAAAAATAGGCTGACACCCAGTTGTAGGAACAAGCAAGGGAAATAACTGCAGTAGGCATATCAATGATTATTGGATGTGGCAAGATTGGAGGCTATGATCAGTGGGGTGCTTGCTTATCGCATGTACTTTTTCTCTATCCTTAAGCAATTATAATACTCCATCATTACCTAGAATTTCCATGCAGTGCTGAACTTTGTTCCTTTTCTCTTTTTCTAGATTCTAAATGCCTGGACTCTGCAGGAAAGAGTGGAAGTGGGACAGCACTCCTGAGAAACACCAGCATTCACTCTATTCCTCCAAAGCACAAGTATAGAAACAGCACCTTATAAGACAGGTCATAAATTAGAGCAGTCATACTGGAATATCCAGCACTTCCACATTTGCTTAAGGGAAATGTTTTGGGATCCTATTATTACAGGACACAGATTTAAACACTTCCCTTTCCTTGCCCTTGTGAAGTTACTGAGCAAATAGCAGCAGATAGGAATGGGCTGTAAGTTCAGTGCCATAATTTCCAGGATCCTACTACGTTGTCTTTGGTCTTACAGTTTTTAGCTATCCATCGATACCAGCTCATACTTGTTATGGGATGGTTAATATCAAGGTTGAATTATCTGAACTCTAATGCTCTAGTTATATCTACATTAATTTACATATTGACTAAATGGTACTAAACAATTCCTAGAGATTGTTTAACACAAAAACCAATTCTATTCTAGGCTTTTGGGTTTTCACCAAACATTGAAAATACCCTAATCAAGCAAAATACTGTTCATTCTGAAAATCTGAAACTCAAACAGAAAATGCTGGAAATACTAAGTTGGGGCACATTCTATGGAGAGAGAAACAGAGGTAATGTTTCATGTCTGCTCTGATGTAAGGACTTAAAACTTGAAATATTAATTTTGTTTCTCAGATGTTGCCTAATCTGTTTAGTATTTCCAGCATTTTCTGTTTGTATTTAAAACAATACAGCTCTTACTCTGCAATCCGGTAATTAATTTCCTCATTTTCCCAATGAACCAAAGCGATTTCATAAGGCTGGATCTCATGTGGCTCCAAGATTTGCATTACACGTTTCACCTAAAGGCAGAGAATTTGGAGACTGTTTTAAATGACAGATGAGAAATATAATTCATGGTTTCTTTCATAAGCAAGTTTCGTAAAACATAACTTGCAAGAAAATTAGAAGTCAAACGAAATACAAATTCTCATTATTTCAACCTGCGTGATTCAACATTTTCTTAATGAGCATAACTTTAATGCTGACATTAACCCAATAATTTATTGTCCCCATTAAAATTATGCAATAAGTAACTCAAGATCTATTTACAGTTATTACACAAGAAATTCACGGCATCAATTCTTTGTCATTGAATTAATTAATAAATTAATTTATCACTACTTCTTTGTCCTTTTCTGGTACGCAGGAGAGGGGCAGTTTTAACATTCCAATGTGTTTTGGAAATGTTTGGCTAAACATCTAATATTGATTTTATTTACTTGAAAATGGGAAGTTATTCCCACAGTTAGAATTGCAAGATATTGCAGTAGACAGAAAATCTCATACAATGAGGCTACGTGTCGCCAGAACAAGGAATGTGTGCCGCCAGTGGAAAGCAGGTCCATAAATTGACATGAAGAATGTTTCATGCCAACACAGAGTTAGAAGTGGGAACTGGGGTAAACATGCAGTTAACAACAGCATAAGTAAACAATACCCTAGACAAAAGGCAGTGTGATTCAACTTACCGCTTTATCTTCCACATTCCAAAAGACAACAGAGCCCTCCCTGTGTGTGCAAGAAATAAAGACTGTTAGTATTGGAGAAGGTCATGGAGAGGACCATCTGTTATACTTTAACTGCCAGATAATACATCAGATAGAAGAGTTTCACAGCCTTAGAAACCCCATAACTGAATCACATATATAAAATGCAAAAAACTAATTAATTTCCCTCAAACCATTAATAAATACTACAAATGATAGGTTTACTACCAAGTGATAGCATTTGGTGAAATAAGTTACATTAGTGAATTGTTATGGGGCAGAAGGCAGCCATTCAGTCCATCATGTCTGCACGGGCTTTGTGCCATTTTCCCACCCTTACCACAAGACTATACGTATTATTTCTATTCAGATAATCAACTAATACTTTCCTGGGTGTCTCGATTGAACCTGCTTCACTACACTTCCAGGTAGTGCATTCCAGGCCCAAACTCACTCTGTGCAAACATTTTTTTCAAATTACATTTACTTAATTTGCAAATTATTTTAAGTCTGTGCCCTCTTGTTCTTGATCCTATTAGGGGCAGGAACTGTTTCTTCCCATCCACTGTGTCCAGACCCCTCATGATTTGAATATTTCCATCAAATCTCCTTTTAGCCTTTTCCTCTCCAAGGACAGTCTGCACTTTCCAACTATCTTCATAATTGAAGATTATCATCCCTGGAACCATTTGTGTAAACATTTCTCTCCAAGGCGTTGATACCTTTCTTGAAGTGTACCACCCAGGACTGTACACAATACTCTAGCTTGGGTTTAGCTAGTATCTTATACAAGTTCAACATAGCCACGCGTCTCTTATATGCTATACCCCTATTGAAAAAACAGAATATACTATTTGCTTTGTTAACCCCTTTCTCCACTTGCCCTATCACCCATACTGAATTATGTACATAGACAACCAGGTCTCTCTTCTCCTGAATACCTTTTAGAGTAGTATTTTGTTTTATGGTTATGTTTAATCTGAACACCGTCGCCAGGTGGATCAACAAGGACACACATTCAGGAATACAGTGTTGTGGCCAAATTACATCAGCTGCCCTGTCTGTGCATGTGGCAATTTTATCAGGCACAGGATGAGATGGTGAAGCGGGCAGGGGCCAAAAGAGAGCAGGAAGGGGTGATGAGAAGTAGGAGGGCTGACGTCGCGGCTAGTTGACATTACAGACTGTGTCTGTGCATGAATGGAAGTTTTTGTGTCATTATAGGTAATTGCTACTTATTTTATACTGTCCTGCCATTTTATTTCTACCAAAATGTACCACCTCACTTCTCTGCATTCAACATATCTGCCTACTCCATCAGTTTGTCAATGCTCATCTGAAATTCTACACTGTTCTCCTTGTAGCTTACAACACTTCCATGTTTTAAACTGTATACAAACTTAAAATTGTCTCTTGCATTTCAAGATCTAGATCATTAAATAAATCCAGAAAAGCAGGTCCGAAGGAACTCAACAACAAATCTTCTTCCAGCCTGAAAAATATCCATTAACCACTGTGTTTCTTAACACTCAGCCAATCATATATCCACATTGCTACTGTAGTGGCATTCTATGAGTTATAACTTTTCTCACAAGTCTGTTGCATGGCACTGCATGGAATGTCTTTTAGAAAACGTCAACAGCATTACTCTCATCAACCCTCTCTGTTACCTCTACAAAGTACGCCGGCAAGTTAGTTAATATGATTTTTCTGTATGAAATCTACGCTCACTGTCACTAATCAACACACATTTGTACATGCAATTATTAGTCCTATCCCAAATTATTGTTTCCATGAGAACATAAGAGCTAGAAACAGGGGCAGGCCATTCAGCTCCTCCAACATGTTCCGCTATTCAATATGATGACGACTGATCTCGTCCTGGCTTCAACTCCACTTTCCTGATCATTCTTCATAATCTTGCACCCACTACTAATTAAAAACCTGTCTATCTCCTATTTAATGTCCCAACATCCACTGCACTCTGGGGTAGTGAATTCCATAGATTCACAACCCTTCGAAACAAGTAATTTCTCATCTGTTTTATCTGTTCATTTGTCTTAGTCTCATCCTTATCCTAAAACTATGACCTTTAGATTCCCTCACGAGAAACATCCTCTGTACATCTACTTTTTCAATCCCCTTTGGCATCTTATATTCCTCAATCAGATCTCCTTATTCTTCCAAACTTCACAGATTATAAATTGCTCAGTCTCACTTCGTAAGACAAAACTCGTAACCTCTGGAATCAATTTTGAGAACTTCCTCTGAATTACCTCCAATGCATCTACGTCTTTCCTCAAGTAAGAGGAACAAAGTTGTATGCAGAACTCCAGGTATGGTCCCAGTAATACTTTGTACAATTACAGTAGGCACTTTGTTACTTTTATACTCCATTCCTTTAGCCATAAATGCCAAAATTCCATTGGCCTTCCTTATTACTTGCTATACCTTCATACTAGTTTCCTGCGATTTATGCATGACGACACCCAGAACCCTGTGCACTGAATCACTGTGAAGGTTCATTTAGATAAACTGTTATTTTTCCATTACTCTGACCAAAATGGATAACTTCACACTTATGCACATTAAACTTCACCTCCAAAATTTTGGCCCATTGACCTAACCTTTCCTACCTATTTTAGTCACCTGCAAATCTGGAAATAGTACTTTCTTTTCCTGTATCCACATCATTAATACAGATTGCAAATAGTTGGACCAAAGATTGAACCCTGTGGCACCTAACTAACTACATCCTGACAACCAGAATAAGACCCATTTAGCCTGACTCTCTGCTTTTTGTCGGTTAGCCAATCCATTATCCATGCTAATAAATTACGCCAAACACATGTGATCTTACCTTGTGTATTAACCTTTAGTGCAGCATCTTATCAAAGGCCTTCTGGAAGTCTAGATACACTACATCTACATGATCTCCATTATCCTCCCTGCTTGTTACATCTTCGAAGAACTCTATTTACCCTTCATAAATCCATGCTGACTCTGATGGATTGTGTTTTGACATTCCAAGTGTCCTGTCATAACTTCCTTAATAATAGATTCTAGCAATTTCTCAATGACACATCATGAAATTACATTGTCTGCATTTTGAAAAAAGTCCCAGAATTTGAAAATTTTAACTGACTTCTGTATTCACAGACATTTTTGAAAATAGATTTCAGATTTTGACTGCCCAGAATTTGAAAAAGTGCTCCTGATTTCACTCCTGAATGATCTTGTAATACTTTCATTATGGCCTTGAGTTCTGCATTTCTTCTCCATGTAAAATTGTTTCTTTATATCTACTCAATCATATTCCTTAATCATATCATATCATAATTAAATTCCTACTTACCCCCTCAATTTTTTTTATTCACTAGTGGGTTGTGGGCATCGCTGGCTGGCAGCATTTAATGCCTGCCCCTAGTTGTTCTTGAGAAGGTGGTGGTGAGCTGCCTTCTTGAACAGTTGCAGTCCATGTGCTGTAGGTAGACCTGCAATGCTCTGGGGGAGGGAATTCTAGGATTTTAACCCAGCAACACTGAAGGAATGGTGATGTATTTTCAAGTCAGGACAGTGAGAGGCTCGGAAGGCAATTTGCAGATGGTGATGTTCCCATGTATCTGCTGCCCTTGTCCTTCTAGATGGAAGTGGTCAATTGTTTGAAAGGTGCAGTCTAGGATCACTGGCAAATTTCTGCAGTGCACCTTGTAGACAGTTCACACTGCTGCAACAGAACCTCAGTGGTCACGGGAGAGGTGCTGGTCAAGATGGTGCCACTCAAGCGGGCTGCTTTGTCTTGGACAATGTCAAGCTTCTGGAGTGTTGTTGCAGCCTCTGACCTCCTCTTGTACCTACTGTATTTATGTGGTGAGTCCAGTTGAGTTTTTGGCCAATTCAGTAATGGTAACATCATTGAATGTCAAGGGGTGGTGGCTAGATTGTCTTTTATTGGAAATGGCTATTGCTTGGCATTTGTGTGGCATGAATGTTACTTGCCACTTGTCAGCCGAAACCTAGATACTGTCCAGGTCTTGCTGCATTTGAACATTGACTGCTTCCATATCTGAGGAGTCACAAATGGTGCTGAACATTGTGCTATCATCAGCAATCATCCCTACTTCTGCCCTTATGATGGAGGGAAGGTCATTAGTGAAGCAGCTGAAGATGGTTGGATTTTGGACACTACCCTGAGGAACTCCAGCAGAAATGTTCTGGAGCTGAGATAACTGACCTCTAACAACCGCAGCCATCTTCCTATGTCCCAGGAATGACTCCAACCTGTGAAGAGTGTACCCCGATTCCCACTGATTTTAGTTTTGCTAGTGCTCCTTGATGCCATGTTTGGGAAGTGCAGCCTGGATTTTAAAGACTGTCACTCTCACCTCACCTCTAGAATTCAGATCTTTTGTTCATGTTTGAACCAAGGCTGTAAATGAGGTCAGGAGCTGTGGCAGAACCAAAACTGGGTGACAGTGAGCAGGTTGTTGTTAAGCAGGTGCTACTTGATAGCATTTTAGATGACATCTTCCATCACTTTACTGATGATTGAGAGTAGACTGATCGGTCAGTAATTGGCCAGGTTGGGTTTGTCCTGCATTTCATATACTGGACATACCTGGGCAACCTCCCAAATTGTTGGGTGGATGTCAGTGTTGTAGCTGCACTGGAACAGTTTGGCTACGAGTTCTGGAGCACAATTCTTCAGTACTATTGCCATTATGTTGTCAGGATTCATACCCTTTACAGTATCCAGTGCCTCCACCTGTCTCTTGCTATCATGTGGAATGAATAGAATTGACTTAAGAATGGCATCCGTGATGGAGGCTGAGACGGATCATCCACTCAGCACTTCTGGCTGAAAATTGTTGCAAATGCTTCAGCTTTAACTTTTGCACTGATGTGCTGGGTTGTTCTATCATTGAGAATTGGGATATTTGTGCAGCCGCCTCCTCCTCTTCCTCCAGTGAGATGTTTAATTGCGCACCACCATTCCAGCAGGATGCGGCAGGACTGTAATTT